GTTCAGAAAGGCATATTCATAATTACTAGAACCCAAAGATTAACCTCTTCCCGCCAATCGACGCGAGGGGCGCATCCGAATATGTGCGGAATCAGCCAAGTCATGAAGGTAAGAGAGTTTTTAATCGTCTAGACATAAAACTGCTTAAATACAGAAACAATTTCAACAGCGAAGATTTCAAATACGGTATAAACAATTGTTACGATTTTATGTATTGAGAGAAAACAGTATGGTCTTTCTAATTTCGAAAAATGAAACAGATAAATTAAATAAAGCTAAACTAAAGTTGCATTCTACAACAAGGCGCCATGAATTTTGCGGAAAAATCACGTGTGTTTACTTTAATATTCACAGATTAGGATGTTTTGGCGGAGTAATTAAAAAAGCAGTCAATAAAACGTGACAAAACGTCAAAACCAGGAAACTTTTAATCCTTTAATTGAGATTTCATTCTCTGATGAACAAAACGCATACTCCACAAAACATAAAGCTGCTTAACTGTTAGATAGAAAACTTTTTGGTTAAGGCAAGTCTACCAAAAATATTTAGTTAATAAATATTAATTTATAATTAGAACTTCAAAATAGTACGCCACTCCATACTTACCGAAGGTATTTATTTAAGTTTTTATTTGAATTCTATTGAGCTTAATGCATTTTCGCATTTGCATATTGCTCATACCGCCTCATTTGCGGTGTGTGTTCTTAGCGTTACACTACTATAATTACTTTTCTGTTTGCCGCATTCTTGTTGCACACTAATGAAGTCACTTTTACGAGGCAAGCGGGTTCTAACTTAGTCAATGTTTGTGTTGAGCTCATTTTCTCATTTCACAAATTTATTTGCATTTTCCAGTTGAACGTATTTGCTCTTCAGTTCAGCCACTGGCACTTCCGTTCATTAATTTGCGCAATTGCATACCCACATTTATACATATAAGTACATTGCTCATTTGATAGATATCCGCGTGGTCTCTGTAAGTGCGAGGGCAATTTGAGTAAACACACCGTGTGAATTGGCGTCCCTATGCATCTACGTATGTACGTATGTCTGTATGTATGTCCTTGAGCAATTGTCCACCTGTCCTTTGGCACTTCGTGCGTAAGTACGTATGTGCTGCTCTTCAATCCATCCATCTAAATCACTTAACTTGACCGCTATTCAATCGTTTTCAATAAAACTTCAATTACATTTGCTGCACGGATATTTGCCTTCTTCCATTCACTCGTTGAGCTTTCCATGAGGATTTTCTGTCCTTCACCATACCATACAAACCACTTCCTTTGCTCTTTGTAATTGTATGCTTGTATGCATGCAAACAACCACAATGGATTCGAGAGCTTCCCTCTCTACTTTGGTGCACACTTCTCGCCAACTTTGCTCTATCCGGTTTTAAGATACAAAGTTGCTTTTTTGCTATTGTAACGGTATTTAACGATTGAGTACCAGACTTGCCTGCTTTCTTGCTTCCTGCTTTACAATCCTCAACGGCTGTTTCCGCTTGTTACGACCCCCAGCTACAAGTTCAACTAGATGGTTAAATAGGAAAAAGTGCTATATTTACAGTTGTGAGTATTGAAAGCAATTCACTGCGCTTGTTTGTTTCATTTCCCTTGCTTTTTTTTGCGCAACAACTGCGAATATTTACTTCCTCTGCCAACCTACAATTAACTGAGCGCTTTCCGAGCTTCAGTCGTGCAACATAGCTAGTCCTCAACCTTCTACGCGCCATTGCAATTTTCATTAATTGTACGCGGACCGGCAATGCATCGGCGAGATGAATTCCCAATACAACTTGACGCCCTAAGGAATGTGGGGTGGGTTTGGAAAGTTGCTCCATATCTCCTTACGTACAGTTGTGAACAAAATAAAAGCGAAATGCATGCATATCTGTTTTAAGGTTTATGGGGCTTACACACGATTTATAAGTGATTCTTGAGTTTGATCCTGGTTCTGATTAATATCAAAAATCATATTTTTTTAGTAGAAGCTCAATTTCCTCTATTAATCATGAAGAGCCCCATCAAGGAGAGATGTTTTTGTAGACATATATGGTACTACTATGTATTAGCAAAAAATAGTACGACTTAGTTCATAATTTTAAAATTTTTGAAAAGCCAGAAGTGGGAGGGATCTAGATGAGGTGAGTACGGTGTTTGTTTGCTTCACGATATTGGTTGAAATTTTGGTTATAACTCACGAAGAATTAAGGTAGTATACGACGGTGCACTATCGTGGTGAACAAACCAAGAGTTGTCGGCCCTTAATTCCTACATCTTTTTGCGAATATATTCCCGTAAATGACGCTCAAATAGTATTACTTGTTGACAGTGTGGCCAGTCGCAAGGAATTCCGAGTGCACTACGCCTCGATAATCGAAGAAAACTGTCAACATAACCTTGATTTTTAGACCAGTTTTGAGGTGTTTTTTCGGCTTCGGCTTACCTTTGATCAATTGATCGTCTGTTTCCGGTTCGTAAGTATAGATCCAAGACTTATCGCCAGTAATAATACGATTCATGACATCGTGGTAGTCGGAAAACATTGCTTCACAGACGTTGACATGGCGTGGACTTTGAAAAAATTGAGTGTTTTTGGAACCAGTGGTGCCTTTACTCTTCTTAGGAATCTTTCAGAATGGTTTTCACAATCATTCTTCCGATATTTCAGTGATGCCAGTAAGATTTCTGGCTTTTAATCGTCGATTCTTCAGCACAAATTCCTTTATTTTATTGACGTGTTGATCATCAGTTGATGCTGACGAACATCCTGGATGATGTTAGTCGTCAACGCGTTCTCAACCCTTTTTGAATAATTAGTATCAATGAAAGCACTTGCTCTCAGCAAACAACTATCCCCAAAGGCCTTTTTAACGTTCAGAACTTTTCGCCACTTGAATGTGTTCCACGCGAACTTTAAATCAAAAACTCTTACTATTTTTTGCCCACTGTGCATATTTTATAACGCTGACTATACTATTTTACCCACAAGTGTACATACTTATTTATGACGGAGTAGAACATTGGTGTTGTTGTGCATCGTTTGGTCGGTTGTTGATTGGTTGCAAAAAGCCTCAAGAAGCTACTTTGATAAAGAATGCTGAAATGCTACTTTGAAAAAAGGCTCTACTTAATAGTGTTTCTCCACCTTATAATACAGCTTTGTATGCGTGTAGTTGTTGCTCACTTCATTATAATTGTACATTTGAGATTGAAAGCCGAATAAATCCCAGACGAGTTGAAATCGAATGAATAGTCGACATTAAGTGGTAAAACAAAAATTAGCAAATTTTTAGCTCTTACAGGCTGCTCCAAACGAATACGCGAAATCGGGCTAGGCATAGCTTTCAACTATTTGTGGATATATAATTACTGTCTGGAAATGGTCCTATATTATATGCATATGAAATGTGGTCACAGTTTGATCTAATTGTTCTGAAATATGGAATGAACTGTGCTCATCTTTTTCATATGTTATATAGAGGCTGCCTAATCATCTTGACACCTAAGATAGAGCATCCAGTCCAATCAATAGATAAGAATCAAAAGAGTGAGCACAACAGTAAGATTTGAGAAAAGGCTATGTGGATTCAGAGTATTGCAATTCCGGCACGTATTGGATGAGATCACCCTGTAAAGTGGTGGTTATTTTCCGCTGTCAGCAAGGAGCTAGCGGCTCATTTAACTACTCCTTTGACTATTTATTTTGCGTATTATGCATAGAACTAGAGCTTGCCACCATTTCCAAGCTCTTTCTTAGTTTGGTAAATTGAAGAAGCTATGGCAGAATTCAAGTTGCATTTACAGGGCAGCAATTACTTGCTGCACAGCTGACGCTTTTCACGTTTCTGCTTTGCCTACTTAAAATTAGTGCTGAGTGCTGAGCATATTTGCAAACGCCCACAGCCTATTGGCCATAATAAGGTGCGAGAATGTTTGCGCAGCGCGGTTGAGGGCCGTAGTGGAGAGCAGTTAATGACAGGACTGTGAATAGTTGAATAGCAGAAGGAATGAATGAATAAACGAATGACGAAAAGGTGTTATCTGATTGCCATTCTGCACACACGCAGCAAATGGAAAACGGCAAAACAAACACTAAATAAATAAATACCAAACAGTTGTGCATAGGGCTATGAGTGCAAAGCGAAGGAACTCGACATACAAAACAGCAACAAGCAAAAACATTATCAAATGGAAAACTTGAGCGGACCGTTGGGCATTTTATTTGTTTTTGCTTACTTTCTTCGTTTGGTTTGACGTCTCACACTTTGATTCGTTCTATGTAAATTAAAAAAAAAAGTACTTTTCGCATAAAAGGCGCTTACAGCAACGCAAAGCAAAGTAACAAATAACAGAAAATGTGAAAACAGTTAGTTATAGCGGTGCATTCGAAATGTCTGCAAGGACAACTTTGGTGCAACTATAGTCGTATCGGTAATTAACATCTTGACTGGCTTTGCACAGCGACAGTGAATGACGGCTTTTACTGAGTAGTGTTCGGTCAGAGGCCTCAATGAACGCTTGCTGTTAATGCCAAATGCTGTGAAATGTGCGAAAATCAGAGTTCACAATTTGACAAGAATTTCAGATAATGAGTAAAGAAGCAATCCAACTTGGAAAGTATTCGACGTAGTACCCAACGGGAGAAGCAGAGGAAGAGGAAGACCTCACTCTGTTGGAAAGACCAGGTAGAGAAGGATCTGGCTTCGCTTGGAATTGGCGCCACGTTTTTTCAAATTTCACTTTACTTATCGCTTAATAGCGAAGTTTAAAGAAATTTTAAGCAAGAGTATTACCTATAATGGCTCGTATTATTTAAATCTTCTAATTCTTAGGTAAACTCAGTAATATTGAATACAACGGGTTAAAAATTTGAATGCCTTCAACTGCCTTGCCAGACTGGATATTCCACAGAGTCTCTTCCAAGTTCTGTCGACGCTATTATCTAAAGATACCGCTATAATGCACACTAACTACACACAAACCAGGAAGCAATTTCCGTTTTGATAACGATTTCATAAATTCTTTATTGCAGTGTTTTCATTAAATAAATAGATGTAAGTGTACACACATTTGACTTTTACATAATTTATCACATTTAATGCTTCTTATTTCTCCCATACATTTTAGCCATAAAATCCACCAAAGCCACCGCGATGACCATGATGACCATGATGCCGATGGCCTCCGTAACCTCCGTAGCCACCATAACCACCATAGCCGCCATATCCACCGTAGCCGCCATAACCACCGGGAAAACCGCCAAATCCTCCATAACCGGGATAGCCGCCGAATCCGCCATAACCGAACTGACGTGCTAGACGAGCTCCTTTAATGCTTGTCGAAAGCCCCGCATCAACATCCAAAAGTTTCTGAGCCTGTGATTGCACTGCTTCTGCTACCGGCACGGCTACAATCTGTACAATTTCAGATGCTTCGGGCACTGCACTCTTTTCGGATGCTTCCACTTGTAGAGAGCTTTCAGGTACTTGAACACTGACCTGTTGCTCCTCTAACGGATAAGCGCTCGAATAAGCCAAAAAGGCTATGAAAACGATAACGATTCCTCGCATTTTTGTGGAAGATCTGCTGCTGTTTCTTTATCAATTAGCACTTTAACACTTTCAAATTTCACTCACTCCAATGATGAGCTGTTTCTATAGATTTAGCTGAAGCTCGACTATGTTCGCTGTCAGAAGCGGTTAATGCTTTTATAATGATCTTGCGCCGCAAATCTTCAACCATAGGCGGTTTCTGTTTACTAATATTTCGCTCTTTGCGGTCAATTGGGAAATACCCAAAAAAACAAAAGAGAAAAAAGAAATGAAATGAATGAGTTAAAAAACCAATACGAATCGGTAAACACATGTTTGTATATATTCAACAGATTTATTAGCAAATGCCGCTAAGTTCATTCCATTCGTTGCTTCTATAATCGCCAAATTTAAGCTTGACTTTCTTGTTAACAAATTATACATGGAAACAACAACAAAGTAATTAACTTGATTAGAATATAAGGAATATACGGCAGGTTCATTATAGCTTCTGTTTCATTAAGTCGATATACATATGCGTTATATACTAGATCGATTCCGCAGTATCCAAATAGGAAAATCCAATGCAGCTACATGTTTAAATATGTAACTGTAGGAGAATTTTGTAGTGCGAACTCAGGGCGTAAAGTCTGATTGCATAGTACAATTTTTGGATCTTTTCTTCCGCAATCGAAAGATAATTTCAGGTGGTTCGCGATATAACAATAATTGTTTTTAATAATAAAAAAATGAAACCTTGATTTCGGTAATTATCCACAATTACAAAAGATTCGTTACCAGAACTTCATTCCGATAGCAGCTATATGCTTTAGTGAACCGATCTGAACAACTTCTTCGGTTTTCGGCTCTATTGCTTTCGAAGCTGTTTCGGCGAAAGTGTTCCATGCACTTTTTCAACAAAAGAGTAGATTTTTAGAAATCAACGACGGATATGAGCAGATTCTTAAAAAAGATAATCGAGTTCTTATTTAGAAAACCTTTTTTTTTGTCGAAATATCTTCAAGTAATTTGGCGTTGGTTATTGACCAAGACAACACTACAATGTCGGAACAAACTGTTAAGATCGGGCACCAAAGCATGTAACTGCCATTGAAACCGACCGATCAAAATAAATATAAAGATCTACAATAAGTAATTTAAGGTAGAAAAGAACATGTGAAGGGTATTATAGCTATATATTATAAATCATATGGGACTGGCGATATCTTCATATAAAATTAAAGCCAATAATTCGCTGCTGAATATAAAATCTTAATTTATTTTAGCGAAATCTACAGCAAATCTTAAAATTTGCATTTCTCAATATAATATGTGCAAAGAAAAGAAAGTATATATAAATAAAAGATAAATAATTATGCAAATGTAGAAACTTGAAACTATGATATAGCGTGTTATTGTTGAATGGGCTTATTTCTATATCTTTTGTTAACCAATAACGGACACTTACATATCGTCAACTGAAATGGAAAACAACGTATCATCAAAGAAATCGAAATTGAGTTTTTGTTGCTAATTATATTTAATATTATTAAATTGCAAGCTTCCTGTCTAATAGCCTTGACAGACGGTAGCGTTAATCCGGATTAACTGCGCATCTAATCAGATCCAAATTTGTAGGCAGCAGACGGCAGCTGTGCGAGTTTGAAACTCTTGTAAACAGCTGATTGTCATTTTTATAATATTTCCAATGAAAATGGATAGAAAATAAATATTGCGGTTGTTAGCTAACCAATTTTTACAAAAAAATATCACACGTTATTTCGAAAACTGCATCATATCATAAATTTTCTTGTTTTATTACTGAAATAAACTTCTTGTTTTATTACTGAAATAAACTGAAACAAGCAACACTGTCGTTTTTCATTCTCAATAGATTAAAATTGGCCATTTCTAACAATCTTGAAAACGAAAATGAAGCTAACTCTCTAAAATTCTGAGGATTCAATGGGAGTTAGCAATGGAGTCATCTTAACTCTGGAATTAATCCGGATTAATGCAGTTAATTTCCCAAGTCCTGTTTAGTGCAGTTAATCCGGATTAACGCTGCCATCATTCAATGCTATAAGATATAACCAATATTTAATCATTCTTTAACCAAAATCCAAATTTTGTTTCAATATCTGTATATCTGTTCTATTACATCGTTTTTCCTTCGTGTGTAAACTTATGGAAAGTGATGTTATATTATTTTCCATTTTAATGGCCGATATAAGCGATTAATTTTGAATAACTTCACGAAAGTTGGGTTACACAAGTATTTAAACATTTTTATTTGAAATCAAAAATTGGCAAAAAGAAATTTGACATTTTATGTTGTAAAATTATTGACTTCTCGAACTTTTTAAAAGTCACATGCTTTGTAAGAAAATAAAACTCTTTCAAATTCGTTAGTCTTTCATCATTCATTTTCTGTAAACTTAAATTTGTATGCAATTGTGCCCACTTTAGACAGAAATCTGTGAAAGTCTGGAATTGCAAATAGTAGAACGCCTATTCCAACATACTTTGCAACGATCTAGACAAATACTAAATAATGATCTTTTGACCGTAAAGATGGTTGCTTAGGTTATTAACCGGGAATACAAGGCAACCGTTTACTCCCTCCTTTGTACATATGTATGTAAGTAGCAAATGAAGTGCTAATTGCGCGATATCATGAAAGTGTATGGCTAAATAGGCGATTCATTGCTGGATATATTGGATCTGTAAATGCACATAATGAATGGAATCGACACTTTAAAGAGCAATCATTGTTTTAAAAGTAATTATATGATATTCAAGATATCTGTTCACCTGCTTACTAAAATTGGGTAAAAAATTGCATAATTAATTTGATTCTCCAGTTACTGAAATGATATTGAATACACAATGCTTTATATTTATATATTTCATTCATCAAAACCTGTTTTTTCAATTTTTATACCCTGAACAAGGTATTATATTAGGTTTGCCATGAAGATTGTACCACGCAGAAGGAAAGGTCGGAGACTACAAAATATATCTATGTATGTATGTGTGTATAATAGAGCGTTTTATTTAAAAAATATGTGAAAAACGTGAAAAATGGAAGAGGAAGTACTTAAAGGCAAAATTAAGAGCTGAAATTTTCATGGAATTTTTTTTGTCAAAATAAAAAACGAAATTTTCAGGTGTCCTTGAAGAAATAAACAAAAGGTTTTAAATGAAACACCCTGATATATATAATATATAAAAGATTAGCATGACGAGCTGAGTAAATTTAACCACGTTTGTCTGTCTGCATATAAGTAAACTATATTTTCTTACGATCTTTACTCCTTAAAAAGCTGCTCTTTCTCTTTCGGAACTGCCGACCACGGAACAGACCACTATAGGAATAACTGCCATTCAAACTGTACGATCGGAATCCAGTGCATGCATGGAATAGTTTTTCATTTAATGAAATTTCTCCAAGAAATTTGAATGGATTATTATCTAAAGAAATAATGCAAACTCCGAAGTAATTGTTTTGTGTTTGTGCAGGGAATCATTGCTTAAGTGCAATCGAAGTTAATTTTTTTTTCTTTTTTCTTAATTTTTTATTTTTATTTTGAATGTAATTTATATTTTATATCCAGTGAAACCACTGTTTAATTAGAAGATGTGCTGATAAATATATATTTAATATGCCTATAAATTCAGTCTCCGCGAGGAAACATCCCCAAATGGGTTGAGGCTGATCCACTTTGCCGCGAAATATGGTTATCCGTAGTACTAGATTCCAGCATAAGAAGATTCATCAAGCTACCTGGCTGTCTTCGGATGGAAAAACCACCAATCAGATCTATCATATTGTGATAGGAGGAAGACACATCGACTCGGAGCACTATCTTATTGCAGCACAGATTCGCACCCGCCTCTGCGTAGCAAAAATTCACGCCAACAAATAAAAGGAAGGTTCGACGTTGAGGAGCTGCAATCACAACAGATAGCCGAATGATTTTCTACTCGATTTGCACTCCTCCTTTCTGAGAGCGCTCGTCAACAACTCTTGTAGAACCCCCAAAGGTGATGGAGTAACCGATGCCCAGAGCATACTTAAATTATGGAGGGAACACTTCTCCAGCTTGCTGAATGGCAGTGAACGCACAACGCCAGGAGAAGGCGAACCCGATTCCCCAATCGATGACGATGGAGCAGACGTTCCATTGCCCGATCAGGAAGAAGTTCGAATAGCAATTACCCGCCTGAAGAACAACAAAGCGGCGGGGGCCGATGGATTGCCGGCTGAGCTATTCGAACACGGCGGCGAAGAACTGATAAGTAGCATGCATCAGCTTCTTTGCAAAATATGGTCGGACGAAAGCATGCGCAACGATTGGAATTTAAGTGTGCTCTGCCCAATCCACAAAAAGGAGACCCCACAATCTGCGCCAACTACCGTGGGATAAGCCGCCTTAACATCGCGCATAAGGTTCTATCGAGCGTATTGTGTCCAAGATTAAAATGCACTGTCAACAAACTGATTGCAAATTATCAGTGTTGCTTTAGACCTGGAAAGACAATAACCAACCCGATATTCACCATGCGCCAAATTTTGGAAAATACCCGTGAAAGAAGAATCGACATCTATGCCGCGATGTCTGAATTTGGTATCCCCGCAAAACAAATACGGCTATGTTACGCCAATTAAGAAGAAGAAGACGATAAAGAACTCCTTTAGCAAAATAGAGCTCATATCCGAAAATACCAGTTTAAAATAATTAATTTCGAACCGAAATGGAACCAGTAAGAAAAATAATCGATTTGGATTAGTTATGAAACAATTTATTGCCGCAGAAACTTTTACTTTTCTTAAGTACATACACAAAGTAGTGTTTTGTTTTGAAGTATTAAAAGAATATCTTCACGTAGAAACTACCAGCTCCACCAACCAAAATTTAGTCGGCTGACGATTGACTTAAGCCATCACATTAGACGTGAGTCAATTGAGAACTAGCTCATTTGACTGTAGGGTAATAATAGGCCCTGCTAATAGTACTCGTACGCGTATTATATGTAGAATAACTTTCGGCATCCCATTGAGTTAATGAGTCATGCCAAACAAATATTTATCGTTTGAAGTGATATTTGTTTATTGGACGCGATTATTGTTAACCGAAAAAAAAAATAAAA